GTCCTCTACTTTTCACATACGAAAGGACAGGAAACAGGAAAATATACATGTACCTATTCATGTGAGCAAAAAAAGAAACACAGGAAATAGAAACTAAAGACTAATGAGATGACAGAGATGGGAAGGGGCAAGAAAGGACGGGGAAATGCGAACAGGGCAGGAGGAACAGGATGAGGGACACTTCTGTGAGTACACCTTTTAATTTTTCCTACATTTACAAATATGTTAATTTTTTATGTGATCAAAACTAATTAAAACAAAAAAGGATTAGGGGGTGGTATCCAACGCTTCTTTATGTTATTCTAGGATTGAGCAAGAAGTAAATATATTGTGGATAATGAGAGCCAGGCTCTCTGTTGGAGAAAAAAACTACAAATTAAGAAAGGAGGAAAGTTATAATGTACTCTGTGGTGCTGGACTGGAATTTGGAGAAATCAGTATGAAATCACGGTTCTATGAATCAGTGTCAATTCATAGTTCTATGAATCAGTATGAAACTGTGGTTCTATGGCTTAGTAAGAATTCTTGTGAAGAACAGACCATTAGAAATTCCGGTCTCCAAAGATGCCTTAGAGTCATGGGGCCCTGTGACTCTCCCCAATATAGTTGGACTCCCATTTATTCCTGGCCTCAAAATTCTTTCTGGAAGGGCAGATGATAGGTTTTATGTCCCCGTCTTTGGATTTGAGCTATGACTTTCACCTAAGCCTTGATAACGTTATTTCATTCCTTTTGAACTCATTATGAGCAAACACATGTATAATTCTTCCAGTCCTCTTTAATCAGGAGAGAAAAACCTGAGCAATGTGGAATGTTCCTAATAGGAAGGCACAGTTTTCTTCTAACAGGGAAATTTTACCAGTTTTCAACTTTGAAGTATGGCCTTTGGAAACCATCAAAAGATTTAGCAAAGCTTGTTCATATTATCACTAACTACTAATGAGTGCAATTAATGATGCCCCAATCAGACCACACTCTGAGGGAGTCTGACTCTGGTCCACACATTTGGGAGTGAGGTCCAAAGGGACCTTTTTAAACAGGACCTACCAGAAGAGATATCAGATTAACAAGAAGTGTGGAAATGAACTTTTGGATGGAGAAGATTTGGGCAAGACAAGATAATGCCTTCAAATAACTTCAAGGCTGTCATGGGGACAGGACTGTGTACTCCGACACAAGAACCAGTATCAGCAGGTAGATCAGCAGATTGTAGCTCAGGGTAATGAGAATTTTCCCAATTCCTAGAGGTGTCCACTAATACAGAACATATTTGTCACTAGAGATGTCTGAGAAGGACCATCATGGGGTGTTGCGGGAAGCAAGAACTCACATTGCACTCTGGAATGTATCACCCCTGAGCTCTCTCCTGGATCTGCGATGAGGATGAGTGATCAGCACCTCAGCATTTACCGCGGCCCCGTGGCAGGAAGGGTTACTGTTGCTGTTTTCATTGTGATGAAAGCGAAGCTCAGAGCGTTGAAGAACTCTGTCCAAGCTGAGCTCAGAGGTGCTGCCGGTGCAGTTGAAGTCCTGCTCCCCCAGCACCTAAGCCGGCCTGGCTCCCTGCCGCCACGACCTCACCTCTCCTAAAGCATGCGGGTTCTCAGCATCCCGCAGTGTCACTGATGCACCTCTGCGGGTGTGCAGCAGAACCAGCCTGTTCCAGGCGTGCTCCTTCTCTCGTGCCCTGCCCTGCTCCGCCACACTCTGGGGCACTGGGATCTGAGCGCGGGCACCACGGGCCCCTCAGCCTCAGGCCAGCCCACATGGTGTGGGCCCAGGTTAAAGCTGCACACGACTGGGTTGGTCTCGTGACACTGCCAGGGCCTCAGGGGCTTTGTGCTGGGCCGTCAGCTGGTCTGCGCGCTGCTGAACCTCAGGCCGGGGCCCTTGTCCAGCAGAGGTCAGGGAGAGAGCTGGGTAGGAGAGGAAAACTCCCCTCACTAGGCGTATGTATGTTGTGAGATCTGGGACCGAAGGTGACCATGGAACCATTAACCTAATTAGGGCTTCACAGAAGGTTGAGGATGGCTTTGGGCTTCCACAGAGCGCATACCTGGGGATTCCTCTCAACCTCTTCCAGTTCTTAACAGGCAGATAGTCCAGCTGACATAAAGGTTACACACTGAACAAGGACGTTGATTTTTAAATAATGTTTTGAATGCTGTAACAGATAAGAACAGTCTAAGAGCTTACGTGCTTATGTGAAGCCCACTGCCTCTGTCCGGAGCCCGCAGAACCAGGTGGAGACTTCACCATTGGGAGAAAGGTGGTCACTCAGGGGGACGAGGGAGGTGTGACCTCGAGGAATATCATCCAAGGCAGCGTCCCGCAATACAGCGTGTGCCGTGTGCAGGCGGCCATACGGGAACAGAAATGTGAGAGGAGCAGCGCATCAGAGGAGAATCCCGCATCAGAGATGGAGAGAAGGACAGGACGAGGTCGAGGGAACAAGGCAGGGCAAGGGGACTGGGACTGAGGTCGAGATGGCAAGCGGGCTGGGAAGCCCCTTAAGCAGGTCCCTCATGTGTGAGTTTGGGGTGGACAGAGCAGCCTGAGGGCGCCCAGGAGCCCAGCCTGGACAGTCTCCTCCTCTCATCATCACCAATGGAAAACAGATGGTGTCACCTCTTTCAGAAATATCCTTCACAGGCTCACAGAGATGTGAGTTATGCCCAGAGGCTGGCTCCTCCCAGCTTTGCAGGATATTTGGCAAACAGCGGGTCCAATGAGTGACTCCATGGCCTGGAGGGGTCCGGGCTGCTCTCCCACAAGCCACTGAAATCTAACATTCGCCGTTTTTCATCTGCATCCTGCTTTCCCGTGGTCAGTGTCTCCTGACCAGAAATATGTTCTCTTCCCCTCAGCCCCAAAAGGAACAGGGGCCATGGAGAGAATTGCATCTCATGGTCCGCCCACTCACTCTCAGATGCCGACTTCAGACATCCCCAGCCTCTGACTCTCCACCTTCCTTCCCAGACTGATACCCCTGCCCCTCGATGCCCCTGCCTCCTGCCATCCTTAATACCGCAGCCCGAGAGCTCTCTCGACACGGTTACCCTGCCCATGAGTCCTGTTCCTCGCCACAGCAGTCAGGGCCCTTCCCAAACTCTCTCAACTGCCCCTCCTGCAGATTTATCCTCAGGCATGGTCTCCATCCCCACGATGCGCAGTAAGGCTGCTCCCAGGACGAGCTGCTTTTCTAGGCACACTGTGACATCCTGCCCCAGGGCTTTGCACACCCTCCTTCTTTGGACTGTAAATGCCTCATGTTATCCTTGCAAAGATCTGTCCAGCTTCCTCAGGTCTTAGCACATCCTTCCTTAGGTTCCTAAAGCAAATGCCGGTGCCTCTGCTATAGGACTGAGTTTATGCTGTAATTGTAAACCCCACTCGATTTGAAGCTTCCGGAGGTGCAGGTTTTATTCACCTCTGTATCCCTACGACATAGCACAGGCCCTGCAGTATGTACTCAGTAAGCGTTTGATGAATGACTAAATGAATGAATGAACAAACAGGTATACATGAGGGCATGTACACAGCCAGGAGCACACATAACTACATGGATTCATAGGCACTCCTGGGCACACACACACAAGCTGCCCACAGACAAACCTGCCCCAACAAGAACCCTGAAAGCCCTCATGCACAGGTGGCTTCCTCATGCACACATGCGTGAACCAGACAGGCACAGACACACGGTGCACACACAGCCTCTACAGCAGCGCTGTGCAGAATTTTCTGTAATATGGAAATATTCTGTATCTGTGTTGTCCAACACAGCAGCCAAAAGACATGCATGACTACTGAGCAAGTGTGACGAAGGGGCTGAATTTTAAATTGTTTAATTTTAATTAAATTTAAATAGCCACACGTGGCTGGTGGTTCCTGTATGGAACGACAGGCGTCTAGACTGACAGATGGAAACACACACGCACATCCTTAGGCACACACCAGGCCGAAGCCGGGCGCTCGGACACGGGCCCACAGTCTGCACGCAGTCACGACCTGACAGGTGCGCCGCGCTCTCCCTCCAGGCACCGTGGGAAACCCACGGGCAGAGGAGCAGCGTCGATCGTCACATGAAGGCAGACTCCTCCCTGAGGTGGAGGCTCGCCCCTCGAGGGCGTGAAGACATGCATTCCCGCAGGCCTGTCTCGGGCTAGGAGACACGACAGCCACTGGAGAGCAGTGTGTGCTTCACAAGCCGTTTTGTGCAGACTGACGGGGAGTTGGGCGCTAATTTTTTAACAACTTTGTGGCGACCATCTGTTACTTGTATCCAACTGGCATTTTCTTTAGTCCTCATGGGCTCCTCAAACCCAGTAATATTTCCCTGACGATCTGTACCCATTAAGCAGGACCTAAACTGCCTAGGTTTTACGGCAGCCAGCGGTGAGGGGGCTGGACCTGAGCATGCCCAGGCCACCGTGGCCTGTGCCTGGTCCTGCGTGTCTCCGACCTTCTCCCAACCTTCCTGTGTCTGCTTGTGCTCTTCTGACCCCCCTGCCCAGCCCACATTCCACACCTGTCACTCAGATCTGCAAGGATGGAGGTCAGAGTCCAGCTTTTGGAGGATGGGGGAGTGGCTGAGTTCCTACAAAGCTCCAGGAGTCACCTTGAGGACTGGTACAAAGGGATGTCACAGGCGTGTGTGTGAGCCAGCTCGTCCCTGACTGGGGAGGGGTCTGTCTGCTGTCGGGCAGTCAGGGGAGCCCGCATGCTCCACTGGCCTTGACAGACGGGAAGCCCACAAGCACGGCGACTGAAGCTGAGGGCTGAGTCACTCGGGAGGTGGGAGGGTGTGCCTGTGGCTGGAACACGGAAGCACGGGGATGGAATGCCAGGAAGTGAAGGGCCACAACCAAGCCCCGAGGGTCCCTGCGCACCAGGCTGAGGGGACCACCCTGTGTCCTTTAGGCCCCTGAGGGAAGTGTTTTCACACAGGAGAAACAAACAGATTAGATGCACACTTTAAAAGCTAATAGGACCCATGTAGGTTTAAAAAAATAATTTTTAAAAATAAGATTTCGTTTGCTCCAGGCTGAGGGAAGGAGGTCAGCAGAGAAAGGGCCTGAAACTAGGCAGAAGGGAGTGGGCGGGGCGGCCCCTTCCCAGAGGTGCAGCTCCATCAGCAGCCTCCCGCTGGCTCTCGCAGGCCATGCCCACCGCAGCAGGACTCCCAGCCGAGGTCTGGCGAGACGAGGACTCCGCTCCACACGGACCACGGGGCGGCCGCCTCAGCTGAAGCGTCGCCCTGAAGAGCACACGAGAGTCGAGAGCAGGTGCTTCTCCAGCTGAGGCTCGTCCAGCCCTGTGAGCCTGAGAGAACTTCAGCCAAGAGCAGGGAGAAAAGAAGCAAGCGTGCAAAACAGAGACAAAAGATTAAGATTCAAGAATAAGTGTGAGGCTTCTGCTTTCAGACAAGATAGGGTAGATTACAGCAGGCAAGCACTCTTGCTGCAACAACTTGAAAAAGATGGCTAAATAAAACAGAAATCATGCTTTTAACGGCATCCGAGAGCTGTGGAAGCATCGAGGACTCGATGACCTGACCTTCCAGAGAAGTAGGAGGACTCTGGGGTGAGCTGTCCATCACTGGCCACCTTCTTTCCTGGGCGTTTGCCAATTCTGGCTGTGAGCTGCAGACCAGGCAAAATCCCACTCTCAGTAAAGCCAGTGAACCCTTCGCATCAGGTGGTGAGACTTTTTCAGGGGGCCAGCGTGGTGTGTGGGGACCACTGCAGTCAGGGAGACAGATTGGACTCCACTCCGAGTACTGCTGGGCAAGGGGGACAGCCAAGGAGCAGGGTGGGGGTCGGTGGGTGAAAACAGCTGAGAGGAACCATCAGGCCGGGCGCGGGGGGGTGGGAGGGGGCAGCTCTGGCTGACTTGCCCCTCACCGGATTCTCGCTGAAGGCAGGCTAGATGCTCACACATCACCTGGGTGGCGGGGATGAGGAATCTGACCCGATGTAGAGGGTGGGGGTTCTGGCTAAATTGACTTAGCAGACTTCTTGCAAAACTGGGGATGCAGAGAGGAGTGTGGAAGTAAGCGTAGCCAGGAAGCTCGGGCCTGAGCAGAGTCTGACATGGAGAGAACCTTCATCGGGGGTTGGGAGCACTGCATTCTTGCTCCCCTCAAGATGCCAGAGGAGCTTTCCTAGCCGGCCTGAGGCCTCAGGCATTCCTCAGTGCCACTGCCCGCTGTACGCAGAGAGTCCTCCTCAAAACCACACGTCACAGAGGCAGGATGCGGCCCCCACGCCCTCTTGGATGTAAACCCTGCCCGCCTAAGGTTGGTCGGGACACCCCAGAAAGGGAGGCACTGCTCACAGCAGAGCCATGCAGGACCCATAGGGGCTAATCACGTGAACACCCAAAGAAAGAAAAAGAGGGGGGGACAGTTGGGGACAGATAAGAGACAAAAATGAAAGAAAAAAAAAAATTCCTCACACCTAGGGTTACAAGCCATCCTAAAAGGTTTTATTTATAAAAAGAACAATGAATGTTGTCACTGGTTGGGTTCCCTGGAATTCAGTCTCTGACTCAGTGTCATGAGCATTGTTTTCTTTAAAAAAATTCAAAAGTGAAAAAAAAGAGAGCATAATTGGGCTGAGGGAGAGATCAAGCCCAGAACCCAAAACAGCGGGCCTAAAATGTCTCCACTGACTGTCCTCAGGCTGCTTCGGCCCTGCTCCTCTGAGCCACCGGACACAAAGCCTCCCCAGGAAGACCTGAGACCTGGTGGGGTGCTGTCTAGAGCTAACGTGGCCCTGGAGGGACCGCAGCCGACGCCGTCTTCCACCAGCACATCAGCGACCTGGACGGCACGTACTTGAGGTGGCAGATGCCAGCATCCACCAAAGTCCACCAGTGCAGCTCGAATCCATTTCTTCATTTTCATTCTGAGGGTGGGAGAACATGCAGGCGTGCGTGTGTGTGTGTGTTCAGGTTGTGGGAGTTTTGTGTTCGGGGTAGTGTGTCTGTGCCCACTTGGGGTTGCTATGTGTGAACTCAGTGATGTGAGGACTGTGCATCCATCAGGGAGGTTTGAAAGCAATGTGTGTCTGTGATGGGGTTGAAGTATGTATGGGTTATGTCGTGTACTGTACTAGAGTTTGGGTAACGTAGGTGAATATTCAGATTGTTTGCGGGGGGTGTGTATGTGTACCCCAGGAGGGTGAGCTTGTATAAGATACATGTTGGATTCTGTGGGGACAGGGTGTGCATGTGAATGTACAGCTTGTGCAGGCGTTATGCATGTCTGAGAAGGCGGGGTGTGTAAAATATGCACTTGGGGATGGGGTTCGTGTGTCTGTGTGCGTACTGGGGTCATGGACAGTTTTAGATGTGTCTACCTGCAGGGGTGAGGATGCCCATTTGGAGAGTTCCGAGCTGATGTGTGTGCATTTTGAAAGGGTTGGGTGGTTGTCTGAACACATTCTGAGTCCAGTAGGACGTGACGGGCAGATTAGAAGACTGAAGGTGTGCTCCTATGAAGAAGGCTTGGAGGCGTGTGTGTGTGTGCGTGTGCACGTGCAGTGTAATGTTCTCCATGTTTCTGTGTGTGGGACACGCGTCCATGAGGACATGCTGGATTATCTCACGTCACAGGTGCAGATCTGCCTCAAATCACAATGGGCTTACATCCTGACAAACCCACTGTAACGCGAGAGCACAGGAAGTCGAAGATGCATTGAATCCACCTAACCTACCGAGCGTCGAACGTCGCAGCTGAGCCCAGCGTGTCTCCAGCGCGCTCAGCACGCTTATGCGAGCCCACAGTTGAGCAGAACCGTCGCCCACAAGCCTGTTCATAACACAGCATTGGATATCTCATGTAATTACTGAATACTGTACTGACAGTGAGAAACACAATGGTTCTAAGTGCGTCGTTGTTCACCCTTATGACCACATGGCTGACGGGAGCTGTGCTCACCGTCACTGCCCAGCATCACGGGAGAGGATCAGACCACATATCACCTGGAAAAAGACAAAACTCAAAATATGAAGTACGGTTTCTATTGAATGCGTATCGCTTTTGCACTATCCTCAAGCTGAAAAGTCATAAGTCGAACCGTCGTAAGTCAGAGACCACCTGTAATTCAGTGACGTCCAACAACACACACTTGCTTCTTACTCTGGTGGCATGTCCTCCATTAATTCTAGACGGGTTCCTTGTCCTCTTCACTCTGGATCCAGACGGAAGGAGCAGCCCCACTGGGGCAGGACCAGACGGGAAGCGTGTGCTCAGAAGTCACACGTGGCATTTCTGCTCACACTTCATTGGCCAGAGCAAGTCACACGGCCACATGTGCACTTAACAGGGTGGGATGTATAATGTCTGACAGAAACACCCCCAAGAGGGACAGTACATATTCCTCACAGTGATACTGTCCACCACACTGTGTGCTCAGAGCCTGTTCCACGGCAGCGGGGTATCTCACCAAGGAGTATGAGGAGGGTATGGGCAAGTGTGTTTAGGTGGGTAAAGACTGGTGTGTGATTAGGGCCACGCTGTCAGGTGTGGGATGTTTTATAATCACACATTTGGGGCTTCCTGTCTGTTTTTTGGGTGAGGAGTTGGGTGTCTGTATTCTGTGTTGTGTATGTATTTCATATATCTAAGATACGTATTTCATGTATGTGTGTAGGTTAAACGTATATTCAGTGGTGTGTGGAAATGTGTTTTTAGGGGACTATGGGTGAGTCTTTAGTATGTTACAGGAGTACAGTTAACTGGGTTTATTCTGGGGGTGCTGAATAGTGATGTGTGCATACTGGGCTGGTTGTGTGTACGCTCGGGAGACGTGGAAGCCTGTATGCACCCGAGCAGTGTGTACGGGTGCGTGTGTGTCTGTGTTAGGGAGCCACGGGTGTACTGGGGCAGTACAGGTAACTGTGTGCATACTTAGAGTAGGAGAGTTGTGTGTGAAGATTCGGGAATTTTGTTTGCATCCCCGTGCACACTCGAGTGGTGTGAGGGGCCGTCTCTGTAATCAGGGTGCGCACGGAAGTTTCACTGTGTATCTGAGAGTACAAGATGGTCTGGGATGTACAAAGCTAGGTCGTGCCTGTGTGTGAGATTATGTGGGAGATGAGAGGAACGGTTGCCTTAATATAGATGCAGATGATGTGGGTATGTTGTGTTTGTGTCTGCGTGTGTGTATTTGGGTGTCAGATGGCTTTTATCAAAAAGACAATCAAATAACAATTTTTGGCAAGGATGTGGAGAAAAGAGAACCCCTGGGTGCTGCTGGTGGAAGGTCAATTGCCACAGCCACCATGGAAAACAGTACAGTCATGTGCTGCATAATGATGTGTTGGTCAATGGTGGACCGCATATGCGATGGTGGTCTCGTAAGATTAGGACCGTACAGCCTAAGTGTATAGCAGGCTGTACCACCTAGGTTTGTGTAAGTGCACTCCATGATGTTCACACAACAAAATCGCCTAACAACACGTTTCTCAGAACATATCCGTCATTAAGTGCCACATGACTGTATGCTGTTTCTTCAAAAAATTAAAAATAGAACTACCACATAATTCAGTAATTCTACTTCTGGGTATTTATCCAAAAGAAATGGCTAACTGAAAAAGATACTATGTTTTTCAGCATTATTTACAATAGCTAAGACATGGCAGCAACTTAAATGCGCATCAACGGATGAAGAGGTAAAGAAAATGTGGTATATACACATACAATGGAATATTACTCAGCCATTAAAAAAGAAGGAAATATTACAATTTGTGACAACATGGATGGACCTTGAGAGCATTATGCTAAGTGAAATAAGTCAGCCAGAGAAAGCCAAATACCATATGATTTCACTTATATGTGGAATCTAAAAACAGAAAAAAGACCTGAACTCAGGTGTTGATTGGTGGTTGCCAGAGGCAGGAGGTGAGAGGCGGGAGAATGGATGAGGGGGTCAAAGGTGCAAACTTCCAGTTATAAAATAAGTCAGTCCTGGGGATGTAATGTACAGCAAGGTGATTATAGTTAATAAAACTGTATTGTATATTTTACAGTTGCTGAGAGTAAATCTTAAAAGCTTTCATTGCAAGAAGAAAAATATTCTACCTATGTGGTGATGGATGTTAACTAGACTTATGGTGGTCATTTCACAACATACACAAACGTCAAGTCACTGTGTTGTCCACCTGAGACCAACATAACGTTACGTGGCATTTATATTTCAATTTAAAAAGTTACTTGAAATGGACTAAAGACATAAGTATAAGACCTGAAACTACAAAACTCCTAGAAGAGAACAGGAGAAAAACGGACCTTGACATTGGTCTTGGCAATGTTTTTTTGGATATGACACCAAAACCACAAGCAACAAAAGCAAAAATAAATAAGCAGACTACATCAAACTAAAAAGCTTTTGTACAGGAAAAAAAAACCACCTACAAATGAAAAGCCAACCTACAGAATGAGAGAAAATATTTGCAAACCATCTATGTGATAAAGAGTTAATATCCAAGGTAGATAAGGAACTCAAACAACTCAGTATCAAAAAAAACCCCCCCAAACAATCCGATTTAAAAATGGGCGGAGAACCTAAATAGACATTTTTCCAAAGAAGATATACAAACAACCAACAGGTATATGAAAAGATGCTCAATATCACTAATCGATAGGGAAATGCAAATCAAAACCACAGTGAAATATCTCCTCAACCTGTCAGGATGGCTATCTTCAAAAAGACAAGAGTTACTAAGTGTTGGTGAGGATGTGGAGAAAAGGGAACCCTTGTGCACTGTTGGTGGGAATGAAAATTGGTGCAGCCACTATGGAAAACAGTACGGAGGTTCCTCAAAAAATTAAAAATAAAACTACCATATGATTCAGCAATTCCACCTCCAGGTATATATCCAACGGAAATGAAATCAGGATCTCAAAGAGGTATGTGCATACCTATATTTACTGAAGCATTATTCACAATAGCCAAGATATGGAAACAACCTAAGTCTCAACGAATGAATGGATAAAGCAGACATGATACATGTATATGTATACAGATGTATGCACAAACATATGTGTGTGTGTATATATATACACACACAGATATAATGGAATGTTATGCAGCCATGAGAAGAAAGAAATCCTCCCATTTGTGACAATATGGATTGACCATGAGGGTATTATGCTAAGTGACATAAGTCAGACAGAGAAAGACAAATACTGTATGATCTCACTTATATGTGGAATCTAAAAATGCCAAACTCCTGACAACAGAGAGTAGAATGAGGATTGCTAGGGGCTGGGGCGTGGGGGGAAATGCAGAGATGTTGGCCAAAGGGTACAAACTTCCTGTTATAAGATGAGTTGGTTCTGGAGATCTGATGGACACCATGGTGACTACAGTTAACTACATTGTATTATACACTGGAAAGCTGCTAAGAGAGTAGATCTTAAATGTTCTCAACACAAAAAATGGTAATTACGCAAGGTGAAAGAGATGTTAACTAATCATATTGTGGTAATCATTTCACAATATATACGTGTATCAAATCATCACACTGTACATCTTAAACTGACACAATGTTACGTGTCCATTTTATCTCAATAAAGATGGAAAAGAAAGAGCAGCCCACCTCCGAATCGCACTGTTGGCCTGCTCAGTCAGACTCGCATCCCACCACTGCCTATGTGAGGAAGCCTCCCTTGCTCGCTTTCGGGGAAGCCTCTGCCTTCTAGGTCAGCAGTGACTGTAGTCACCCCCAGGGACAGAGCCCAGGAAACCAGGCATGTGGGTTTCAGAAAAAGACTGATGGGATCCATCTCTCCTGAGAAAGGTGCAGACCGGCACTACGGCAGCTGTAAGCTACAGAAGGTCCTGAGGAGGACTCCTTCAAGATCCTGTCATAATCTAAGCTGGAATACCATGGTCATGTACGGCAGACACAGCACAAACTGGCCGCAGCCCGGTGGCAAGTGTGTCAACAGCCAGCAGTGCCCTCTCAGGCAGGACTCGCTGTGGTAGAATCAATGAGGAGCCAAGAGCAGTCCAGAGGCAAGCCCCTCCACTGAACACTGAGTCTACAATCATGCCCAGGATTTACTCTACGGAGGTGGGGAGTGACGACGCGAGAGGCCAATGCCACGGAAAGTGGAATTACATTTCCTGGGAGAAGGGGGCATGCCACACGACACAGGGCCACAGGGGAAGCACCAGGTTTGCTGAGGATGCAGAAACAGGAGCGAGGAGAAAGGCGAGGCCAGAGCCTTTGTTGGTGTTTCTGCAGGAAAGGCAGGGCGCCGCAGAGTCAACAGTTTAGGCTTGCCTAGTTTCAATAATTCTGGTGAGGGTCGGCTTTCGGGGTGGTCTCTAGTTGCCTGGTTCCTAACCCTGGGACGATTTAGGTCAGGGGGAGTACTGGCTTAGTGTGAGTGTCAGATAAAGGGGGAAGGTGGGGCTGTAGACTCTGGATTGGTTGGTCTGCATATGAAACAAGGGCCCCCTGCAAGTTCTCTGCTGTCTCTAAGAACTGGCGAGTACTGGGCGGGGTCGTCTCTCCCTAGCCAGCAAGTTTTTTAAGATGTCAAAACATCACAAAATACAGAAAATAAAAACATGATTGATACACTGCTGCTGCTCTGCAACGCCATCTGTCCACCAGGCCCAGCCGCCTCAGGACCCAGATGCCAGGACCACACAAATGCCGAAGGAGCGGACACCCCTGACCCCACCTGCACGAGGAGGGCCAGAAACCACCCACATTTTGGGGGATTCTTTGGCACTGAAGAACGGACCAACCTAATTAGGAGCAATGCAATGACTCAGAGTGACCAGGGTCGATGCCCATACACAAGGGCCCACAGCCCCAGATGCCCCACTCGCAACTCACATAGTCTCCCATACACGGACCCACTGATGCCTGAGTAGTCTTGTTTTACACATACACACATCCGGACAAACACACACACATCAGCTGGAAATGCTTAAAATGCTCTCCAGGGGTAGGTGGAAAAGCCTTGACTTGTGGCATTTCACAGTTTACCTGGTGCAAATATTCTCAGCATGACTGAGTTCAACCTGACGTCACTGAACACAGAGCCGGGAAGATATGCACCAATGACCATCCCAACCTAGTCCGAGCCAGTTACAGCGCACCCCACCCCCTTTCACACGAATAAGTGCACACAGTCCACTTGTACCCCTACTAACACCCTCAACTCTCACCCCAAACATACAAACAAAACCACCTACATAGCTCCAGAATATACATCTCCAGAACAGACAGCCTTTCATACGCCCTAAACACACGCATACAGCTGCCACCTGCACCCTGAACGCACACAAGCCACCTCTTTATAGACAAAACCCTTTTCCCCCTGTATACTCACATTCTGTACCCACAACAGTATATACACACATACATGTGCCCAGACACAAACATATACAACCCGCTCTCCCTGTGTTCACAACGAATACCCTACAGACACACAGGATCTCAAAACACCAAGGACACAGGTGCTTCAGGCACTACCCAAAAAACACCCACAAGCTGTGCCACAGCCCCACAATACACATACTCCACAATTCCTGAACACACACAGCCTACACAGCGTGTTTCCAAACACACACACTGAATATCCCATATTTTGTAGAACACACCCCATAAGCCCCATGAACCCAAATACACACACAGCCACAACCTACCTATACGAACCGAATACATAGAAGACTATCCCACGAACACTGAAAATGCACATATAAACCACCCCACCAAGTTCTTCAACCACTGCAATGCAAGAACGACACCAACAGGATCCCTGAATCCTTCATACACACACTCAAACCATCCCTGAACATATACTCTCCACGATCAGATATACACGAACACGAGAACACCAACAGCCCCTGCACTCTAGCTACTACACACGACCCCCATGCACCCATGAACACACACGAACACACAAATATTCCCAACACTGCACATCGTCCTCGCCTCTGCACATCACCACCCCAGTCCCAAACGTCCCAAAGCGCACGCACGTCACACGGGCAGACACCCAGAGCGCCCGCGCCCCCGGCGCACACCCCCTTCAGCCCGGGGCACACGCCGCAGAGGCTGCGCCTCCCGAGCAGGCTCTCGGGACCGGGGAAGTTGTGCGCGCACACACACACCTGACTATCGTCAACGACACAAGGCGCGTGCGGCACGTAACTCACAGAAAATCAAATACACACAAAGCTCCTCACCTCCGCGCGCGTCCCATTCCTGCCCACGTGCCGGCGGCCGCTGGCTGGAGGCCCGCACGCCGGACGCGCCCGGCCCCGACCCTCCGCGTCCGAAGTCGGACGAGGGCCAGCGGCTTACTGCGATGACTCGGCGAGGCGGCTCACGGCGTCGGCGGGGGCGTGGCCGACATCCTTCCGCCAGCAAGGCGGCGTGCGGGTCCCGCAGGACGGCGTCACAGCCGCACTCGCGCCTCAAGCGCCCGGGCCACGTGCACAACGGCAGGCGGCGTCCAGGGCGGGAGAGCGGCCCGGGCACCGCGCGGCTCGGCGTGCGCAGGCGCGGAACGGCCACCGAACCCCGCCCAGCCGGCCGTCGCGAGCCGCCCGCGCAGGGCCCCAGAGGCGCCCGTTCCGGGTCTAACCGCCGCGCCGGAAGTGCGCCCACCCTGCGGGACGTGTATCCCCGCGGACACGGGGCTGCGAACACCCGCAGCATGGACAACGGGGAAGAGCAGAGACCCCGAGCGGTGGACAGCACACACACCCGTTACCGCCCTATTCACACAACCCTCTCTGAGGGCCGCTCTGCCACGCCCCGCCCCGCCCCGCCCCAGCCGCGAGGCTGTTTGGGCCCCGCCCCCGCGCTCGCGCATGCGCGTCTCCGGAGCGGACTGCCGCAACGGACGCGCGGAGCCGTTGCGGGAAGATGGTACGCAGGCCCCGCTCCCAGGCGGCGTGCGCATGCGTGCGGGCGCGGGGTGCGCTGGGCCGGTCCCAGGAGGTCACGGGAGAGGAGTGCGGTGGAGCCCCTGGCGCGCTGGGCCGTGCTGCCTCGCCGCGAGCCCCCGCGGCCGTCGGTCCTCAGATCAGCGCGCGCGAGCACGTCTGATCGTGCGACGTGCGAGCCGGCCCCTGGAGACGGCCCTCGTGGCGGGCCGGGAGGTCCTCCCTGCACGAGGTCCGCAGGCGGGCGGGCGCTCGCCCCCTCCCGGCTGGCCGCCGGGGCTCTGAGCGCCCGTCCGGACGTGGGCCCTTCCCGGCCGGCGGAGGGTTCCACTGAAGAGTGTCCCTGGGGACGCCCTGAGACGCCTTCTCCTACGCTCTTTCCAAACGCGCTGGCGGCGCTGGAGTCTTTTCCTCAGTTTATTTAACACGTGCGGGTTTTTCAAGAAATGTTGATTCACACACGTTTCCCTTGCAAGGTTTTTGTTAGAACTGTGACTAAGACGACCATCTGGGCCAATTTCAGGTGATGTGGCAGGTAGTATGGGAACAATTTTACTCTCCATCCCCTCTTTTTTGTAATATATTGCAGAATTTCAGTTGGCAATAAAAAATATATATAGTAGCAGAATCAACTTATTGACTTGGGTTGGTCATGTTTTCCAAAGAAACTTCAATCGTTCAATGCTCTTTCTGGTCAACTGCAAGATTTAGCATTTCTCACTCCACAGGTTACTTCTTAAGACCCCTCACATCTAAGCCCCCAGAGCCCCCGTGCTCGGACTGAAAACTGCACAAGACGCAACGTGGTGTCTTGGCGTTCCGCTAATGTTCCGGGAATGAGAGGAAGATCGGCTGTCTTCTGAGCTGTGATCCGTGTCCACAGCTGGTTTTTCTCAGCACTCAGTGCCTGCGCCTCACCTTTCTGCGGGAGTAGTCGGAGATCGTGGTCCGAAGGGAAACCGAGGAAGAAGTTAAAGTCTTCCTTAGAGCAAAAACTTTGAGCTGAGCTTTACTAACTGCAGCTGTGCATACTCGTCATAATCAGCTGTTCAAAACCAACCAGTCTTCCGTCCCACCTTAGTACATGACCGGGCTGTCTTTCCCAGGAAGTCCAGACGTCAAGATTCAGCCTCACAAGGCCAAACGCAGGCTGAAGATGAAAAGTCCAGACGGTCAAGGGAAAAGAAATTTCAGTCTTCAAGGCCAAACAGGCTGGTGGGAAGGCGCCAACCAGCAAGGCCACATGCTCCTCCTCCCCGACCTAAAACCCCAGATAAAAATTCCTTTTTTTCCCTTTGAGAAAGTAGATCTGAGTTTTACCTCCCATCTCCTCGTCTGGCTCCATTTTGATAATAAACCTCTTTCCTTGCCACAAGCCTGGGATTTCAGTTACTGGCCCTCCTTGTGCGGCGGGTAAATGAACCTGTGCGTTCAGTAACAAAACGATTTTCAGCTACCTGCTTTGGGGCTGGTCTTCCCAAGTTACATTTGGACTAATTTAATTATATCGGATTCTGGGCTCTAGGGTTTTTGATGTAGTACAAAAATGATTGCAGAATTGGTACTGGTAATTTTTCCACAAGGCAGTTTTTATATTGGTGGCCCTGAGAAGACTCTTTCAAATCCTATATCAAAGCCATGAGTGTGAATCTTGTAAACGGTTGACTGACTGACTGGAAAGGGGAGGAAGCAACAAGGAAGTCTACCTTTCTTGAGTGCCTGAGTGAAATATATTTTTCTCACCATCTGTCTAGTTATGAGGTTACTGGTTGAAAATCACTTAAAGTTTCCCATGGTAAAAGCTCAGGTCCTGAGAAACATTGCCAAGTTCTTTATTTTTTCAACCCATAACAGGAGTTCTTGAAATAAAGTTCACCATGACTTTGCTTGAATTGCTCTCACCTCACCTTCTCATCTTCTTTTCAATCATTTTTTTTTTTTTACAAGGGACAAGAAACTTCTTACACACCAGCAGGAGTCTTTTGGTGAATGTTCACAGCGTGGAACAGAGCTTCTAAAGCTCTCCTCCCTTCTCCACCTCCCTGCCACAGTAGGAACTCTAACTGCTGCTACAGCAGAGAGAGGAGCTTGTCTCCCAGGAGATTTAGTTGCAATCCTCTGAAGTTTTCACTCTCATCTCCCTTGATGAATTGCCTAGCAGTCCTCTCTTCTCAAAACGCAAAACATGAACACTCATTTCATTTTGATACTGAAAACTGACATTGATGTGCAATATGAAAAAAAAAAGAATCAAACAACTTTCTTTTTAAGGGGCGCTACCATGATTGCTACGCACATGGGACCACATGCAATGATGAGCCTCAACTCCAAAGAGCAAGGGTATGTGATGCAGACAGGAAACTTGCAAGTGGGTGAGCAGGGCTTCCAGGCTAGATTGGTGAGCTAGGACTAGAGGGAGGTGAGTCTGTGTGAGTGAGGATTGGACACTGGTGGGTGGAACCTTGGCTTTGTCTCAAGGTACCCATTTCATGGGTAATGGGCTTTTAACACCTACAATAACAGGGCTCTAGGATGTTAAACCCCTTTAACACAGGGAAGGAGAAGATTTTCTGCCTTCCTGTCCCTTACTTCTGTCCTTGCTCCCGCTGAAACTAGACACTCAGTACTGTATGATGGCTCGTCCAAATTCCATAGACTCCAGGGAGCCTGCAGATTTTGTGTGTGTGTGAAATTTTTTTTTTGTGGTGGAGCCAAAATGCACACTTGAGTCTCTTTACTCCAAGTTCTTTTTTTTATAGTGGTGAGTAACTAATAGCTTAAGATGTTACACTTTTTCGGTAGAGCCATTCTTGGGCTGGGGCTTTCCTGCAAAGGGATTGTTAGTACAGCCGGTCCTGCTGGAGTCTGCCGAACTTCCAGGGCTGGACAGTAGGTGGCGACAAAAGGACTGCTTTTAAAGAATGATGTGCACATGGCAACCGAACACACCGGATCTACCGAGACAATCCCAATTTCAAACACTGGGTTCCATTTATCAGACTATATCCTGAATTTTGTTCAGGAAGTGTAGCCTCTGTTGAAGGAAAGAGTCAGGTAGGAAGCAGAGTGGGTTGAGGGGCACAAAAGTAGGTTGATGGATGGAGATTTCAAGTATAGGGAACATCAAGTCAAACCTTTGTGCTGTGAATCTGATAAATAATGTATAAATTGCCTAAAGAGGCACATGCCAATTGTGTCGCCACTGCCTAATTTGAAAGGAACTTCTGGTTCTTGCCTACCTGCCAGAGCCCTTCATGGACTGTCTCCCCACCCCCACCCAGACCCACCTACCTCCACCCCTCCCCCACTGCAGAATGTCTTGAATCCTACATTCTACTCCTGTTTAGATTCAAACTTTTCCCTTCTTTACTTGGATCCTGAGCATCTGCTAGAGCAGGCCACTCTCCGGGTCCTGAACTTGACTTTTCTCATTGTGGAGGTTACCAGGCACCGGTGGGCCGTGCCCAAGTCTGCAGGATGGCTTCAGAAGGAGGTAAGCATGTAGGTTGGGTGGTGTGTTCAGAGTCTCTGCCACTCCTCAGATCCTGGAGATTCAAATGTGATACTTCGCTGGGGGCAAGTAGATTGGACTGAAGGAAAGGAGAGAGCAATGGACGCCCAAAGTCGTCTCCCTGGGAGGCTGGGAGCTGATGGAAACCTGAGGAGGCACTGGGGAGGAGAGCTCCTCAGAGGTGAATCGAGATGACTCAGGGGAAGTGCCCTGGGTATGGAGAAAGGATGGCAGCAGCACGCTGATTCTTTCTAGAGGGGATTCAAGCCACTTCCACATGTGTGTGAAGGGAGAGGTGGGATTATGTCATGGTGGTGGCACAGGGACGGTCACAGGGAAAGCCTAGCCCTGGGTCATGTTCTTCAGGCACCTGGAGCTTGCCCCCCAGTATCTTCCTGAGGGATTTGAACTGAGCACACCAGATCTATGGGGGTGTGGGGAGAGATGGTCTTAGCCAGAAAGTTGTTCTGTGGGGCTGTCTGTGGTCAAGTCTGCAGTGAAACGTCCACCGCGAGAGCTAGGCTAGAAGTCATTCTAACTGCTGCAGCATGGAGCTTCTCCGCCCTCCCGGCCCAGAGCTCCCCTCTCCTCAGTCCAGGTGGCCGTCGCCTTGATTCAGCAGGGGTGGGGCAGCCGGGTGACTTCAGCCAGGAGAGGGCTCTGGTTCCTAAGTTGTTCTGAATTGTTCTCCTTCTTGTGGAGACTCGGTTCTTCAGACTACTTCATCTTGTCCAATATTTCACGTGTACCCTCAGCCTTGCATTTCGCCTTTGAGATGATGATTTGCTCATATTCCACGTCACTACTTCACAGACAGGGAACAGATGTGGAGTGTGGTTGCTTTTCCCGCCGATCGTCTCTGAAGGCTGATTCCTTTTTAAAGGGGGGAAGGAGAGTCGCCCAGAAGCAGGAAGACTATCTTCTGTATTATTGCAGATGTCCTGGGACGCTTGTCCTGGTGACTGAGGTGCATGTGATGTGTGCTTTGCTCTGCTGGACCAGGCTCTGCGCGAGCTCCTGGTGAACACAGATGTCTTCCAGGTGACGCTGTCCCCCCGGCACCTGGTGCGTCCCCACTTCTTAGTGGGCCTTCACTTTCCATTGTTGGGAGCTGGAAGGGGGAGGACCACACACAGTCTGCACTCCCACAACCTAACTGATGTGACCGACAGCTCTGGAACTCTCTGGAACCTCCCCTGACAGCCCCACTGCTGTCCATTTCCTGGCCTTTTCTCATCCTCTGCAGCCATCACTGGCTGTGAAATGACAACTCAGGGACACAACCCATTTGTTACAGACCCCTCTCCTGGGAACAGAGCTGAGTGTGGCAGTGACTCTGGCACTGGGGCTGGGGGCAGAACCCAGCCATGTGAAGTGTTTGCTGTGGGGGCTTCTGAGCTGCGCGCGCAGGCGGGGCTTATGCCAGGGGTCCTAAGGCGCTTTCTTGGGGGGAGACAGTTTTCCCATGATTTGTTGTGTTCGGCCAGGGAAGACGGAGAGGGGTTTATACTGAGTATCAGGAAAAGGAAGACTGAGGAGGAGACGGGGCCCTAATGTTTTAGACACCAGCTGTTCGCCCTTTGGGTGCCTGGAACTTACCTTGGAAAAGGTCTCTACCTGCTGGTGGGCCTGCCCAAGGGCATTCCCCGCGGAGTAGATGTCCACCCAGCTCAGTGTCTCGGGATCCAGCCTGTGAGCCTGGCAGGTCGGGCGCCGGGGAAGCCGTCAGGGAGGCCCTTCAGTCAGCACTTGCTGAGACTGCTCAGCAGACAGGGGTCAAGAGACCTTGATGTCCAGGAGCGTATTTCTCAACTGGAGGTCAGAGCAAGCAAATCACTCGAGGACATTTGCAAAGTGCGCAGTTTCCTCTCTTGAAATGGCCCTCGCCTGTTGGGATTCATCGCTCTGATTCCCCAGTGACTAAGGGGCCCCAGGCCTCACCCTGGTTCCTGATTCTCCACGCCGTTCACCCCTTTCCTTTGTCTCAACAGCATCTCCAGTGCTGGGACCGGATGTGACCATGAACCCTGGTGCCTCCATGTCTCCGTTCTCGGCACTGCCCTTTTCTCCACCCACTCCCGGCCCCCCACACCAACCATCCTGGCAGCAGCACCCGCTGCCCCTCATCACCCCGTCATTCCCTCCTGACAGCCCCCTGGTGCTGCCAACTTTCCCCAGGACACCTTTGGTGGCTACCAGTGGCCATAGCCCAGGTGGGACTGGGGCTTGCAATGTCATTGTGCAAGTCAGGTTAGAAGGGAGGCCAGCAGAGCCCCCCCAGACTCAGAACTTTGTCCTTACTCAGGCCTCCCTCAACTGGAGTGCTCCAGGGGCCCTCTGTGGGAATGCTGCGTATTCTGCAACCCTATTCTTGGCAGCCTCTGTGGTGGAGACCACTGTACCCGCCCCGGCTGTTGGGGGCACCCAGGCTGGCAAGGCAGGCTGGTCTCCAGGCCTTCCTCCTCGAGCTCCGCCACCAGCTTCCCAGCTGGCCTCCACCACCCCTCCGGTGAACGCTGGGCCGCATCCACATGGGGCTTCCAGGGAGGGTGGCCTGGCCACCTCTGCGTGCAAGGCCTCGCTGGATGACTCCTGTACCCCCAAGAGTGTTTACGAGAACTTCCGACGCTGGCAGCGCTTCAAGTCCCTGGCCCGGAGGCACCATCCTCAGAGTCCTGACACAGAAGCTCTCTCCTGCTTCCTCATGTGAGCACACTCCCCGGGGCCAAGCTCAGCCGGAGCTTTCACTGGAAGAGGGACTTGGGAGGCACTGCGGGTTAGCTGTCCCAGGGATACTGGAAGGAAGGTGCGAGGGCGTGCCGTGCTCTGAGAAGGCACATGCTTGGTAATATGTGTCACGTGTCTGGTTTATGACATCTTCTCAGGTGCCTTATCCCAACTGCCCCCACCACCCTGAGTCCTGCGAACACTTCTCTTCTCTAGTTACCATGAGCACACTTTCAGAAGATGCACAGTCAGAGCGGCTCCTGGCGTAAGGAGAGGAGTCCTGGTTGGGATGCCCGCCTTCCTCAGCCCTGTGTCCTTTCAACACGGGACTTAGCACAGGACAGCCGGGGGATGTTGCATCAGAGGAGGCAGAAGATGTGCAGACCCAGGAGAGAGCTTTAGACAAGCCCCGCCTTGTTCTGGAGGATTCCAGTTAGAACAGGGCGGAGGTGGAGCTCGGTAGTGGCGAGGGCGTGGGCTCTTTCCTTCTGGAGTTGTGAGCCTGGGAGGCACTTCCATCCCACCCTCAGGCCCCTCGTAAAAAGGGGACAATTCTACTTAATTCAGAGGGCTGCAGAGAAGGTCCCTGGGCTAACCTATGGAGTGTTAGCAGATTGCCTGGCACGTGCTGTGCCTTGTGAATGATTGTGATTATCAGTATGAAAAGGCAACATTGAAAAGGAAAAGAGCCCCCAAAGCCATGATGTCCCAGCAAGAGGGTGCAAGTGGAGGGTCCGCTGGAGTCCTAGGCCGTGGGCTGGTGTGCGTGTGAGGTGGTGACACAGGAGGAAGACGTGTTTTGCACACCCAGACACCTGTCTCTCAGCCTGAGGCACTCCTGCTGCTGTGTGGGGGGCGCTCCAAGGTGTGCGATGGGGGTCGGGGGGTCAGGACGGGCGGAGGCCGGGCTGGAGACTGTACTGACCCCGAGGGCTTGCAGCCCAGTGCTCCGATCCCTGGCCCGCCTGAAGCCCGCCATGACGCTGGAGGAGGGACTGTGGCGGGCCGTGCAGGAATGGCAGCACAAGAGCAACTTCGACCGCATGATCTTCTACGAGATGGCAGGAAAGTGAGTCAGGGTCTGGGGCCCGAGGGCTGTACGGGGATAAGGGCTGGACCACAGGGCAGGTTCTGCGGCTCATCAGAGAGGATGCTGGGAGGAGGCCTGTAAGCCAGCACAGGGTCCCTGAAGCCCAGAGGCCCCTACTCCCGCCAGAAGCTTCTCCCTCACCTTGAGAGCTTTCATTCTTCTGTCCTGGCTCCCCTGGGAGCTCCTCCATCCCTGATCTTGACCTACCCTTGCCTTGACATGAAGGTCTCGGGATGGGGTGAGGTAAACATGAGCCCAGGGGTCAAATCCCATAGGGGCTGTGCAAGGGGGCTGTGCTCCACCAGCCAGCCTGCTGCCTCCTCAGTGGCCCCAAGGCACTTCCTCTCCCCAGTCCCCCAGTCAGCTGCTGCCTTTGCTGTGCTCTGGGCCTGGGCTCCTTGTCAACATGGTCTGTGCCTCCCTCACCCGCCAGGTTCATGGAGTTTGAGGCAGAGGAGGAGATGCAGATTCAAAAGCTGCAGTGGATGAAGGGGGCGCGGGGCCCACCTCCTCCAGCCCCACCGAGACCTGATCCTCAGGGGCCGCCTGCCCCAGAGGTGGGCCTGCAGCCAGGTACAGCACCTCGCTCCCACAGGAGCCGATGGCCAAAGGCGCCTGGGCCTAGGGAGGGCCCCTGGGCTTAGTGAAGGCCCCTCTCCCCTCGTTGGTCCTTTTCCCTCAAGGAGGTCACTGGTGTTTCAACCAGAACAGCCACCGGGAGCCTGGGGTCTCAGCTGCCCCTCATCACAATGGGGTATTGCCCTGGTCCATTTCATAGCTACTCTCCCACCTCCCTGTGAAGGGACCCAACTTGATGTTTGGGTCTCTGTGAAGGACCCAAAGCTTGGGATACGGCACGGGAGGACAGATGAGGGCCCATGTCTGCCTGGGAAGTGGGCTGGGTGGGGAGACCCCTGGAGAGTCACAGGATCCACACGTCCTCAGGCACCACACTTCTAGATGCCCCTCGTGCTCCCTCTCCCATGTGCACGTGGCTCTGGGTGGTCCTGCCCCAGCCTGCACCCACCTTAACGTTCCCCACACACTGCCCTCACCCACGCGCTGTGCTGGGGAGCGAAGCTGGAGCCCTCACACCCCCCTCCTCCTCCCAGTGGCCTCAGCCTGCACGCCCAGGAAGGCAGGCCCCAGGGGGCAGCCCGCCCGCCCACAGCCACACAGACCCCAGCGGCGCCCGGAGAGCGGGGCACCCAAGGAGATCCCCCCCGAGGCCGTGAGAGAGTACGTGGACATCATGGAGGGGATGCTGGGGCTGGCCCGCCCAGCCACGAGGGAGCTGGATGGAGGACGGAAAGAGGACAGAAACGAGCGCCAGCAGGAAGGGGGTGGGGTCTACCCGGACCTGGGTCTCCTGAGCTACATTGACAAGCTGTGTTCCCAGGAAGACTTCGTCACCAAGGTGGGCTGGCTTGGAGCTTGGGGTTCTAGAAGATTCTAGGGAGTGGCACTCTCAGGACCCGAGATCTGGGTTCTGTGCAGGCCGTTGGGATTAAGCTGTGTTCCTTGTTCCTGAGCCGTGTGTGTGTGTGTGTGTGTGTGTGTGTGTGGCCAGTGACCATGATGGTTTAAACACCCATCTTGTGGAAGGGAATGGAGTGGGGCTTTGTTTCTCCAGCTCCTCTGGGTCCTCTTGGCTCACAGGTCACTCCCTGCCAAGGATGCTCATAGCCTCTCTGTTCTGTTCCAGGTGGAGGCGGTCATTCACCCCCGGTTCCTGGCAGAACTGCTTTCCCCAGAACCACAGCTGGACCCCCTGGCCCTGGCTGAGGAGTTGGAGCAGGAGGAAGGACTCACCACTGAGCAGGTGAGCCAGAGAGGGGAGGGACCCCGGAGCAGGAGCACGTGACTCTGCCCACACTCCCCTGCTTGGAGGCCGGTGCTGGGAGGAGCAGCTCTGGGGTGGGGGCAGTGCAGGAGGACAGGAAGGAGGGGATGGGGAGCCTGGAGGGGAGGCCAGGACCCAAAGCCGGGAGTACGGCGCAGGAGGACAGCAGGAGGGCAACATGTCTCTTTGAGACCAAGTCACAGGGTCACCCCCTTCTCTCCTCCCAACCAGTGCCATTGTCCCATGCCCGCTGCTCCCCCTCCTCTCACACGGCCCCGCTCTGTCCTCCCAGCTGGTGCAGAAGCGACTCCTGGCCTTGAAGGAGGAGGAGGGCGTGCAGAGACCCCCAAGTCACAGCGCACCCCCACTGGACTCAAGTCCTTCTGAGTCTGAGGCCGGCCCAGATGCACATGACCACGACCCCCAGTTAGGGGTCAGCGACCAAGCCTACCCGCCAGAGACTGATTGCGAGGACGCTCAAAGGCCCGGCCAGGCAGACACCGACCTGCCCAGGCCCCAAGCCTTGGCTCTCTCTCCAGGACGTCAGGAGTCCCCTCCACTCGGGGCTGCACGGCCCCCTTCTCCCCCACAGGCTCCGAGGCTCACTTCCCCTACGCTGGGATCCAGGGACGCCCCCGTTCTCAGAGAGGCCTCTCCTGCCAGGGAGACGCACAGGCCAGCGGACGGGTCCAGTGAGGACGAGGATGACCTGCCCAGCCTCGCCTTCCTCTTGGCCTCTCAGCACAGCCTGCTTCCCTGGCGCCTCTCCCAGAGTCCAGCCCCTGCCTCGGGCCTTCTCTGCCCTGGAGGTCAGGGGGCGCAGGGAGCCCCCCAGGCCCCGTCCCCTCAGAGCACGGGCCTCAGCCCAGCTCCTCCTGCAGCAGCCGAGTCCTGGAAGCGCCCTGTGTGTGCAGGCCCAGCCCCTGCCGAGAAGATGCCCCTCCCAGGGGCCAAGCTCAGGGTCCCTGGGAGGTCAGCCTTGGCTCTGGGGCTGGTGCGCCCCTCACAGCCACAGAAGAGAAGGTGTGACCCGTGTGTCACAGGCAGGAGGAGGAAGCGGCATTGCAGCCAGTAGGAGCAACGGGGCCCCCTCCAAGCCAGCCCCTGAGGCCCCTTCTCGCCAGTGCAACCCTGGCAGTTCCACCATGTGGGCGCGGGGGGAGGGCAGGACCACCAGGCAGAGCGGGCCTGGGCACCGGGTGGGAGCAGCTCCCTGGGGCGCTGGATGTAAATTGTGAATAAAGAGAGTTTTGTGGGAGATGCTCTCAGAGTGCTGTCTCCACACTTGCATCTGCGCTGCTCCGTGGAGAGGGGCCCTAACTAAGAGGAAGGAGGCTGTGGGAGACTCGGCACCATGGCTCCACAGCTTCCCTCCACATCCACATGGACTCCTTCAGACCGTTCCTGGGCTCACACAGCTCCCACAGGTCCCCAGGGACCCCTCTCCTTATCCCCACTCCCAGGGCCACTTGGTGAGGGGCCTCCTGGGGCATGCCATCATCATCTGTGTCCCTGAAACATCTGGGGATGGAGAGTCGCTTCCGTGCCTTTCAGCCCTCTGGATCTCTAACCCGCTTTCTAGAATGGAGCTTGGAGACAGCGCTTGTCGTTAGGGAGCGTCTCTCTGCTCCCTCATGTGGACAGACAACAGGGCCAGGACATCCTCAGCTCCTCCAGGGCTCCTGTGTGGGTGGCCTGATGGGAAAGGAAAAGGCTGGGCCTCAGCTCTCTGCCTCGTTGTAGGAGGGGCATCCTCTAGTCTCAGTGGATGGTGGTGGCCCAGCTACCTCTTCATTCTAATGAGGACAGAACAAGGGGAAGGGGCTGAGAGGAGATTCCTGGGGCCCGGAAGGTGTGTACGCGGGGCGTGATAGTGGCCCGGAGGATATCAAGTCCCTTTGCAGGATTTCTGTGCAGGAGCGTCTTATCCAACTGAGGGAAGAGGCCTCATCTTGCTGTGGGCAGGGGACTGGCTTCAGGGGCCTTGGGGTCTTCAAGGACCCCCCACAACCACTGTCCCTTCCCTTTGCAGCCATGGCCGGACTCTTGTGTGAACAGATGTCGACAGAGATTTCTATTCACACGTAAACAGTTCCTACTAACAATGAGCACGTTTCACAAGCACAGCATGCCCAGCACGGGCAGCGGGGGCGAGGGGTCCACAGCCCCAGAGCTGGGTGGAAGCCGGGATCCAGGCTGAGGGGATGGAGGCCTCGGTCACCCTTCTGCAGGCGCCAGCGCAGACCCATCAATCAGAGCAGGGGACTTGACCCCACTGGAGCGAGTGAGATGAACAAACAGTGAGGGACAGGAGCCGAGTGGTGTAGACCCCGCTGTCTCACAGACCGCCCTCTCTCCCTCCCAATGTGCTGAACCCCATCGTGGGGCATGCTGGCTCCCCCTCCAGCCCCTTCCTCCTGCCCTACTCGGTCGCTCTGATGCCGCGTGGACACGCCTTGGCCTCACCCTATCCCCTCCTGGCCAACCCCGCTTCTTCAGGTCCTGAGTCTGATTCCTTCCCCAGGACCCAGGCAGGATCAGGACGGCTGAGACTCCCCTGAGTTTGGCCCCTGTACAGCCCAGCATGCAAAGCTGTGGCCACAGGGCAGTGGCCCAGAACTGGGGTGGGGCTAAAGCTGTCCAGTACCACAGGTGGCCTGGCCCTCTGCTTGTCCCTCACAAAGAGCTTGGGTGATGAATGGGCTTATCATGCCAGGGCCCCCTTCCCACCTCCCATGAAATCCGCCGGTCAGCTCACAGGTCCTCCGCCATCACCTCTTTGTCGACTGTCCAGGCAGCCAGCACCCAAGTGCTTGCAGCCCTCCTTGGCCGTTTGTGAAGGAGAGGGTTCATCTTGGCTGCGCTTTCCCTGCCTGCTACCCGCTCCCTGCCCAGCGGGGCCTCTGTGCACAGAGCAACGGGCCTCAGAGGTCACACCAGACTCAGGCAGTGTGTTGTGGGCTGGTCCAGAAGCTGCCGCCTCTCTCAGGTGAGCATCTTCTCCATGTGCCCACCCACTGTGTCCCTGCCTGGGGACAGTGCACACCGGGCTCTGGGTGCAAATGTGGGGAGTAAAGATCTGCACTTTCGTCATGAAAAATACAAGGGCGGGTCCAATGGGAAGAAAAAATGAAGAAACGTCTTGAATTTAACTGTAGCCGGACCTTCTTTATTACGGAAAAACACAGTGGACATGAAACTTTGTGAGTATAGCGTACAAGGTAGGGCTCAGGCAGGAATCACTAGAGACTGAACAGGAATCTCTGGAAAGGACACCTTCACCCACAAACCCTGTGGAAGTGGTGGTGCTCAGGGTAGACGCCCCCTGTGTGCTCAGCGCTCCCCATGCTTCACCCCTGCGGCTCACTGGGGCTCACAGAGAGCCTGCGAGGAAGTCATGTTTCACTCATTTTTCTGTGGGGAAAGTGGGCTCGGAGAGGTCAGGGGACCCAGTGCAGATCACGCATGAGGAACCGGGAAAACCCGGTCAGCACCTCACGGGTTTGGCTCCAGAGTCCTCCTCCTGCACCACTAGGAATAAATCTCGCCAAAGAGACTGTGACATCTTGGGGAATGCCACTGGTAGAGGAGCGAGACTGTCCCCGTGGATGAAAATGCTGTGCCTTCGGTGGTCAGGCTCCCCAAGGCCGCCCTTTCGTAGCTGCGCTTCTGTTCCTAATCCAGAGCTGCATGCTGTCCCACAGGTCTCTGTGCACTCGGAGGATGGGTGAGAGTACCCTGGTTCGGGCTGCCCCCATCCTTGCCCGGCAGCTGACAGACAGCGAGGCCTACCTGTGTGGGTTCATCCGTCCCTCATCAGCCACCTCTGGCGTAGGTCTCACAGGAGGCTCAGGCGGAGGAAGATCGTGTCAGGGGTGGGGGCAGGTATTCAGACAGACAATGGGACATGCTGAAGCCATTCCTGCAACCTCATAAACTCTCTGTATGGGAGTCTAGGAATGAGGGAGCTTGTGAAGTCCCTGCTCGTGGGCCCCCAGGACTTGACAGGACCCTCACCCCAGACAGGCTGGCAAGGGTTACCACCACCAAGCACCCCTCCTGAGGGTCCTGGAAGAGGCTTGATGAGCTGTCTTCCTGAATTCTGAGGCCTGACTGATCTGGGATGCCTGTGTACAAACCTGGGCCGTGGGTGCTCGTTTTAGTAACATACGTTGTGATTTAGCTGCACTCTCCCAGGGTTCACTTTCCCGTCCTCGTCAGTTTCTGGAGGACAGACTCCACTCTCCTTCCACGTCCTTCCTTGGAACGTCCTTCATCTCCGCCCACTCCAAAGATCGTGTTTCAGGGACTTGTGGTGTGTGAATTTGTGTAAAGCGTATGGGGACTAAAAGACATTCTCTGACAGCAACACAAACGGCAGAGGAAGCCTGAGGTGCTGATGGGCTGTCAGGCTCCTAGTTTATATAAGCAGAGGAGATGGTCACCGTTACCTGCTCCGCACGTCGCCATCTTTCAGCAGGAACCTCACCAAACACTGGTCCTTCCGTGCTCCCACGTCTGTGGAGAAGGAGAGCCTCAACAGCACCGCCACACAAACCCAGTGCCGCTGGGACCACAGCAGTGTCGCCAGGCCAGGTGGAGGTTCAGGGTTCAGACCACACCCCATGTAATGTGTTTACTCCTCCTCCCGTGAACGGGGGCTTCTGAATGAGCCAACAAGGGTCCTTAGATCACAAGACAGCCTGCATCACACTCACTGCTTTATGCTCTTTTTTGAAGAAAATGGATAATTTTATTAAGAATGCTTCAACTATACAGAAAAATAGAAAAATGCAATAGAAACCAATACAGCCAACATGTAGATCTAGGCAATGTGAACATTTTGCCATATTTGCTTCAGCTCATTTTTAAAATGAAAACTTTATTAAGACATTTACATAGCATACAATTCTTCCATTTAAAGTGTACGATTTCATGGTTTTTAGCATATTCATAGAAATTGTAACCATCACCACAATAAATTTTAGAACAATTTCATCTCCTCAAAAAATAACCCCGTGCCTTTAGCTATCACCCCACGGTCTCCCCGCCATGCCCCAGCCTTAAGCCACAATTAACCCTTTTTCTGTCTCTACAGATTTCCATATTCTGGACTTTCATGTGAATGGAATCATACAATATGTGGCCTTTTATGTCTGTCTTCTTTCACTTAGAATAGTGTTTCCAAGGTCCGTCCATGTTTTTGCAGATATCAGTACTGCAAACTTCTTTATTGCCGAATAATATTCCATTGCGTGGATAGACTACAGTTTGTCAAATTCGCTCATTCGTTGATGGGCATTGGGTTGTTCCTACTTTGTGCCCTTTATAAATAACTCTGCTATGAACCTGTGCACATGGGTTTTTGTGGGGATGCACATTTTCATTTCTCACAGCTCCTCCCTTGAGCGTGGGGGGCTGCGTTACACAGAAACTCTGTTTAGCCTTCTCAGGAACTGCCTGACTGATGCCCAGCAGGGGCACCATTTTATATATTTCCACCAGCAGTGTGCGAGGTTCCAGTTTCTCTCCACATTCTCACCCACACTGGTTATCGTCTGTCTTTTGGATAACAGTCATCCTCGTGGTTCTGAGGTGGCATCTCATTGAGGTTTTGAATTGCATTTCCCTGATGTTGAGCATCTTTGCACATGCTTATGGGCCATTTATATATCTTCTTCAGAGCAAACTGTATTCATCCTTTGTCCATTTTTAATTGGTTTGTTTGTATTTTATTATTGAGTTGTTGGGGTTCTTTATATATTCTAGATGAAAGTCTCTTTTCAAAGATATGATTTGCAAAAATATCCTCCCATTCTGTGGGTTGTCATTACTTTCTTGATAGCGTCCTTTGAAGCAAAAAACTGTTTAATTTTGATGAAGTCCAACTTATCATTTTTTTTCTTTTGTTGCTTGTGCTTCTGGTGGAATATCTAAAAATCTGTTGACTAATCCTATGTCATGACGATTTATGCCTCTGTTTTATTCACTCTTTTTTTTATCATCTCAACATGCCTCTGTTTTATTCCCTCTCTTTTTTTTATCATCTCAAGCATCTTTAAGTGCACAGCTCAGCGGTCTCAGGCATATTCATATTGCTGTGCAGCAGATCTCTAGAAACTTTCTTCTTTCAGCTCTGAGACTCTATACACATTAGACTCTAATTTCCCCTCCTCCCCTAGACCTTGACAACTGCCCTTCTATTTTCTGTTTCCATGATTTTGAATACTTTAGATACTTCATATGATTGGACTCATACAGTATTTGTCCTTTTGTGACTGGCTTGTTTCACTTAGCATAATGTCCTAGAGGTTCATGCATGCTGCAGCATGTGACACATGGTTTTCAAGGCTGCGTAGTGTTCCATCATACTTGTAGACCACATTTTCTTTATCCATTCACGTAGTGACGGATGTTTGGGTTTCTTCTACCTCACGGCTATTGTGAGTAATGCTGCAATGAATATGGGTGTGCAAATACGTCTGTAAGACCTTGCTTTGAATTATTTTGGATATATATCCAGAGGTGGGATTGCTGAATC